ATCCATATTTTAATAGTTTATAAGTTTTAGGTTCTTAATTCTACAAGGAAATATATAAAAAAGTCCTGAATAGTGTGACCCACATGACACATTTTGTCTTACCATGTTATCATCCCTATTTTATCCATCACCCCTCGAAAATGTATGAAATGTTTTTTATAATATTTTTTTTGCTCAAATAAAAAATCAGACCTCTTTTGCTACACCCACCTGTCACATCTTCTCTTTCACAATTCGTTGATAGTTCTCTTACATTTCATTATACATTCCCTATAACCAGTAGAAAGTCGAGGTTTTCATCTATCAAATGACGTATAACGTTACATTCTGAACAGATAATCGTCAATTTCACTGAGTAGCAACATCGTTCCCATGGGAAAGTTAACGACTAACTTGGATGAGTTTGTAACGGCTCTTGTCGCATAGATAGAAAGCCAGGAAAATTTTGAGACGTAAGTGAATTTGTCCATATTTTTTGTGCATTATTTAATTAAATAAAAATTGAGTGCATTACTATAGTTACTATAAAAAATCAGGCTTATCTCTCCTTGATAAGAAAAAAGAAGATTGGGTAAGTACTTTATTTCTTGTTTTTCATGTTTATTCTTTATTTATTATTATTATAAAAGTAACTAAAGTTAAAAATATGGATCTTTTTAAGTTATTTAAGACAAGATTAGGTAAAATAAGTAATAATAATATAATTAAAGTGGTTCACGAGGCATAAGTTTGGTATCAAATTGTAGATTATAATTCAACTTTTAGTATTATACATCAGTTAGTTTCTTAATTTGAAACTATATATTAATAAAAGGCTAAATATCTATTTTAGTGTTTGGTCAGATTACATTTCATGACGCCCACAATATAACGTCTATAGTTTTGTATGAATTAGAAACTCAATTGTTCGATATTGTCAAGCTAGAATATGAAATAAAAACCTCCTACCTTTTCTATTTGCTGAGATATCATGATATTTATCGAACTCACCATATTGGCGCTACCCACCACTTCATCATTTGAGAAAACTTGTTTATCTATGCCTACTTTTATATATACCAATAACTTTATAATCAATTGAAAGCTATATATTTATTCAATATAATTCTT